AAAGAAATAGAATGGATCAGCAAAGAAGGTTTGATCAACGCAAGGGAGCAATAGGGCAGCTGACAAATGTTAAAGCCAAAAGGGAAAGTAAAGAAATGTTGGGTGAAGTCTAGGCCAGCGTTTAATACTAAAAGCGCAGCCCACGCCTTTTATTTCAACCCGCAGCCAATGCTCATTAAAAGCAGAAACTTTGATTGTTGTAGGAGAGGTTGCGAGAGTCCGCAATACAATGACTTGAAACAAGGACTGGGGCCCTCTCCCTTTCTCCCTTTGACACCATTATCAGACTACCACTATAAGCTTCTCAGACCTTTTACTATTAAGCCATCATATCCACATCTATCAATTTCCATAACGAGGAAATGAAGAAAAATAGAAAGAACAATAGTGAATTAGAAAGCACCTGAAAAGCCGTTTCCGAACCAAGGACGCTTAGGTTCACCGCCGAGGAGACGATGGATGGACTCACTGTTTGGCAATCTATAACCGAAGACGGCGATACCTGGTCATCGTATTTGCATTCCTTGCGGCTGGCTTCCAGACCTCGACAGTGCCGTGAGTGAACATGAACGAGAAACCCCAGATAGAATAAACTGATTGAGAGAGCGAATATAATAAGTGTCAATAAAAAGGCTAGGGGCAATCTACATTAAATGGTCATTATTGTTTGAGTAAATTTTATTTTTCTACTAATGTTTTGAAACTGACAATTTAATCATTAACATTATTGATTTATAACAAATCGGTTCATAATTAACAATCTCTATTGAGCGTGACATAATACAAATATGGTGCATTAATCCCTCTAATCTGTCACTGTTTTTTCACGCAATATAGCCTCGTACACTGATTGGTCGTGAATGATTTTTTTACTGATACTCCAACCCTTCACTACAACAGATGATCCTTGTTTTTGCAGTAATTAATATAATCGTTACCCTTTTTACTGAGAAAAATCTCCAACTCAGTCACCTCAAACTTATCTGTCTTTGGGTATGCGAAATCACAATATTGTCTTCCCCTATTAGCTTAAAGATTATGGTGACGACATTTTTGCTAAGAAAGTAATTGACAGAAATTCATTGAACGAAAAGAAATTTTCTCACGTTAAAATAGAGAAATTTTATCCATGTAATAGGTGGAGTGATTTAATTGAGTTCTCATCAACAATTTAATAAATTCATGAAAAAAAAACACCATTAGAGAAAAATAATATTATCAGAGAACAATTTCTTTGGAGCATCAAATGTTTTAAATTTTTCTATGAAATTTAGTAAGCAAGTTTCTTGTCCAACATAGCTTACAAATTTTTTTCTTTAAATTGTTCCCAACCCATCTTATACAAGTATCACCAAACAGGGATTGAATCATTAGGCTTCACATGAAGAAGGGAAGAGATAATGGACAATACAATACTTTATTAGTCCAAGGCCCAATTACTACAAAATAAGCCTATTTGATTAAGGTGGAGCGGCCAACAAATAATAACCTGCTAGCCGACCCGCATGATCAACACATGCAATCTTGTGTGATAAGTTAATTTATTATTCTTCTGTGTATTATTTTTGGGGGCAAATAAAGAAAAAGGAAGAAAAGATAAGCTTATATATATCCACTCCTTTTCTAGAGTTTCCCTTATCAAATTAAAGGGATATGATCACGGAGAAGAAAGGGTTAGGGATTTCATATCTGGAATACAATCACAAGCATTATTTGTGGTATTGACACACGTATATGAATAGTTGTAATTGGGTAAGATTGTGGTTTGAGAAAAAAGAAAATCATCACATGTCCCTTCGAGTTCGCTCAAATCTTTGCAGGCAGGAAAGTTGATATATATGACTTTCTTCTCTATGACATTGGAACCACACGACCATGTGTTCTTTACCTTTCTCTTCTTTAAACCCATGACCCATGATCTTCAAGATTTTCTATCATTTTCAAGAAAAACCAGCACATGATTCATTGGTTTTAGTGTATACAACCAATTACAGCTACATGTTATTTGAAATCAAAGTGTGTGATAATTTTTTTATTAGTATGCGGTCAAGGTGTTATCCGTTTGATTTCGCAATGAATGCTTAAATATTTATACAACATCGTACTCCAACTCAAAACCTTTACAAATAACAATCATCCCTTAAATCAATATATTTTTATATATTTGAAAGACCATATCTTACGTAATAAAAAAATTTCAAATAAAACAATGAACAACTTGTTTTCTTCTTACAAGTTGAAACCCCTCCCTCTAACCTCATGAGTTATTTAACAATTATTTAAATTGTTAATCGAATCTCCTATAGAGTTGTAAAGAACTTGATATTATATGTTTAATTGATGTTAGCTTTAAATTTGATCCATGGACAAAACATGTATCATCCCTCCCTTCATGAATATATAGTTAACTTATAAATGGTGATAACTTGTTTTAATATCTGAAAATTTGACTTCGTATGTCATTTTCATTTTATTAAAATATGAAAAACATGAAAGAAAATGTATTTAATTAAAAAAAAGTTATTAATGAAAGTGTATAAAAATTATAAAATAAAAAAATGTTTTCATATTTGAAAAAATAATAAATAATAAAATATAGTTTTAATTGAATGAATTGGCATTACTTTAAATTCACATAAACATTAAAACATATTTTGAAAAAAAATGATTAAATATCAAATCTATGACATATTGACATTGATTCAATTTTATATAACATTTTTACTTTATTTTTATATATCTATTATAAGAAATAGAATGTGTTTTTCTATTTTATCTCAAGCTCTTCAAATAAGCTTTGGCCCGTCTCAAATCCATATTAGGGTATATTAAAGGAAGAATTATATATCCCTTAATATACAACATGTCTGCCAAAGTAGATAATACATAATATATAGTTGAAATCGTCAACCCATTTTATTATCAAAGTATTATAAATATGAGATAGAGCTAATGAAAATGTAATTAGAATAGACTCTCATACACCAATATTATTTTTATTATATAATTTTGAGGACGAAATTTCATCTTTTCTTCTCGATTAATTATAACAAAAATGAAAGATGAATGGCTTCTTTAACAGATTATTATAGATATTAAAACAAAACGCCACGATAATATAGCTCAAATATTCATCTCCCAACAGAAACTGTGATATACAAACCAATCCCCAGTAATAATCAAATAACAAAAAACAAATCCAACTTCTGAAAATCATCGTTTCCAAAGAGAATCTTACCCATCATCTATATCTAATAATCAATCATGTCCATGAAGAGAAGCCATTGCAATAGCTGCAAGCTTCTGCAGATTCAACTTGACAACAGTGTCCACAAACATCTTTGTATCTTCCCCAGTGTTCCCTTCTGGTATATCCACTATATAAGACTCCAAAACAATGGTGTACGCTTTCCCTTCTTTATGGAACTCATTCACCGAGGTGACCGACCTGTAGTTCCTCAGCCTGTGCTCGCCTCCCACCACCCGAAAGCTTAATATGTGCTTTTCGTCGTCCAGAATCTCGAGCCTCTCGGTGCTCGTCGACGCGGGGAGGCCCGAGATGACGGTGACTTCCCTGATGCTACCGACGCCGCCGTCGCCGCACATGTTGCAGCTCTTGATGAAGTGCTTGTATTTCTGGGGCTTTTCGAAGCTCCGGATGAATGGCCACACGGTTCGAACCGGGGCGTCGATGCGTTGCGTTATCAGCGACGTACATGTGTTGGGGATGGGCTCGAATTTGTGGTATGTTTGAATGAGGGGTTTCAGCTCCGAATATTCTTCTTTGGATAGGCCTTGAGGGGGCGTTTCCGTTGAGTCCATGGCTAATGAGTTTATGCAAGGAAAAGAACCAAATGATAAAAGCTTGGAGCATGGGTTAAATGGGTTTATATACACACGCGCGTACTTTTGTATAGCTTAAATTGTGGTCTTGGTCCCATACTATCATTAAATTTATAATTTATCCTATACTTGGCTATTCAAAGTAGTTGATAGTGTGTAGGCTGAGTATTCGATCGAGTCGAGTTAAGCAAAAAAAAGTGAGATAATTGAGTTGATGAGTTATATTTTATAACTCAAACTATATTTAAAATGTGTTCGAGTTGAGTTTCTGAAAGTTGAGTTGCTCGAGTTTTTGTTTAAAATTTAATCTTAAATATTTATATGTTATAATACTAATTTATTCTAATTTGAAAGGTTTTCTATAACTATATACGATTTATATATATTTTTTATATGTGATATATATCATACAGAGTTAAAAAGCTCAACTCAAACTTAAAAATCAATCAATTAATTACTAACAATTTTGAGTTATTCGAGTATTATTGTACAACTTAAACTTTATTTGGATTTTTTTTAATTGAGTCGAGTTTAAAAAATTATGAATTCAGTCGATTTTTTTTTACTTTGAGTGGAATAAAAAAATTCAGTTTTTCAAGTTGATTTTTTGCTTAACCCTAATAATGTGATTTTACTCGGAAAACACAAGCTATAGATCATTATGTTAACAATGATTTTTTGTGTATGAAGTAGTATGTTTAAGATAAAAAAATTATGTTAACATTTTAAGTTAACCAGTGACATTACAAAATCATAGAGTTCGAACAAAGTAGGACCAAAATCAAAGTTTGACCCATATCTTATATGCCCTTTGGGGACATTGGACGAGTAGTGTGAGTTTTGTCCTTTCCTCAAAAAATGTGCTTACTTCTAAATTATACAAGTGGGGGGGGGGGGGGATGCTATATTTGGTAAGGACTTTGTCTTTAGCTTCCTTGAGATTGTATTCATTGTGATTGGGGTTTTGCTCTTTTGGAAAGATGACAAAAAAAATGGATTAGTCAATACCTCACTAATATTATATAATTTTTTTAATAATATAGAAATTACATCGTAATATTTATTTAAAAATTTTATTAATCGATTAATATTATACATCTTACAAACTCAACTGAAGCACATATATCCACGAGTGTTTACATATATAATAAACTTGTGATTACCAGTTAAATGATAGGAACATGCTGGGGGTGGGGAGTTGTTGTGGTCCACTGTTTTAAAGGCAAAATATACTGCAGATTCGAGGATTTCATGTGACAAATCTAACAAACTTCCCCTCTCCTGTGATCTTTAGCTTTCACCTTATGGATCAGATTAGTCTGCAAAGTTAACATTTTTCAAAAAAAAAAAAAAATTATTGTATCAAGTAACCTTCAACTTTGAACAATAGCTCTAGGCTCTAGCATTCCAAAATGGTTTTGAGACAGAAAGTTGCCAACACAAACCACCCCATAAGGAGCAGAGAGAATGAGAACAGTCCAACCAAGAATGGCCAGCCAACCAATACTAAACCGAGGCAGAGCACCACCATGGAAGGGAGGAAAGATCTTATTATCGACATGTTGTCAACCCAATGACCCTTGAATAGTATTAGGGAAGCCACGGTTAGCATGTTCCAATCCATTGAGCCTGTAGTAACCAATTTTTGGTCCCTACATAGCTTCCATACATTGATGTCCCCCATGCACAACCCATGCCCTGCTCCACAGCACCCCACGCCAACACCACACCTCACCCATGCCCTGCTACATTTACTGCAACATGTCAGCTCCCTTAAATCATGGCACCAAACACATCAACAAGAAGCAACATCAAATTTATATTAGTATTTGTAATGGGTATATAAAAGAACCCAACCAAACTATGTACAGGGAGGGGGAAAAACCGATTAAAAGAAAGCTGTAACAAGAACCCTTTTTTAGTAATCGAAAGCAGAACAGAAAATCAAAAAAAAAACAGATCGAAATCTTCAAGCAAGCAAAGGTATTCTAGCCCTTTTCTTTACATGCTTGTTTATCTGTTAAATTCATGCAATGTAACCAAATATAGTTTAGATTGTAATTTTGTTCTTTATTTTCATGTATTTATACGTTTAAAAATTAATTAAGATAGATAGAGAGTTAGGTTACCTTGCTTTGGTGTTCGTCGGGAAATTGGTGTCATCGGAGAGAGGGTGGCATGGTTTGTTGGTCGGAGCCACCGCGTAAGGTGTTGGTTCGTTGTTTAGTTCTCGATCGAGGGGGGTGGAGTGAGTTGAGATTAGGGGCTGTCTTAGTGGTGTTCCCATACCTTGTAGGTCTCGGTTGAAGTAGAGTGGCCACCCATTAGGGTGGCCGAGGTGGCGCGGGTTTTGGGACTTCAAGGTCCCCAACCGTGAGTGGAAGAGAAGCCAAGGAGATGTGTGTTGTGAGAGGAAGAAGATAAGCAGGGAATGTTAAAGTCTCGCATAAATTGAATCAGGGGAAAAGGAATTGTTTTTGTATCAATTTTGGTTTAATCACACATAGCGTCACTTATCTTCTTGCCATTCTTTATATTGGTCTATAAAAGTTTTAGTTTATTTATGTTTAAGCCACTTCATTATCTCATTTTTTAGATCAGTCACCAAATTTGTGCAGTTAATCACGCTTAGGCCCCTGTACATTTGAGCGTTTCTATAAACTGGTCATTGATTTGTTTGGGCAAAATTACGTTAAACCCCTAATACATTATCGTGTCTCACATTTTAGTTCCCCGGTTTCCTTTGTTCTGTTTATTTCATTTTGGCACTTTAGTTTTATTATCTTTAATTTGGTCACTCGCTATATATATTATTTACTTGTTTTGATTTGTTCCGACTGTTGTTATTATTTTTATTCTGGTCACCTCTTTATTAGTTTTGCTTATTATTTTCATGTTATGATTTATTTCACTTTGCCATATTTATGTTTGTATTTGTCTAGTATTATTTGTATGTAAATTACATATTGTATCAAAAATAAATTTATTTACTAAGTACTTTTAATGCTTGTACACACATGTATGTCATCGTTTCTAATCTTAGCCTATTTATTTATTGATTGGTTATTATTTATTCACTACTTAATTTCACTAGAATATTTTCAAGAACAACGATTTGTAGAATGGGTGTGGAAAGCATCGCTTGGTCGAAGTGATGCAATCCTATACGACGTTCAAACAGAATATGATATAAAAAAAAAAAAAACGCAAATTCTTCCTTTTACGAGCTTATAAAAATTATTTTTATTGTTATTCCTTTTTTTGTTATTTTATTTGATGTTCATATTGTTTAATATTTAAATTTTAATCTTTATTATTATTTCTTCATTAAATCTTAATATGAGTGATGTATGTTTTGGAAAAATAAAATATGATGCATTTTATGTCAATTTTTGATATTATTTTTTATTTAAAGAGAAAATATTCTTTACAAATAAGAAATAGACGAGGTAGCTTTCCCGACGGAGGATTGCAAATCTCGGGATTTCTTGTCGAGAAAAGGGTTTTTTTTTCTTTTATTTTAACTAATATTCAACGAATAGATCTTAGTTGATATATCATTTTTATAATTCTTATTGTATTAATGATCTCTATGTTAATATTAACAATACATGTTTTAGATAAATTAAGTATAATTTATTTTATACTCTTGTCGATATTATTTGGTAGTAATTCAAAGATAGAATATACTTTATAGATGAGAAATAGATGAGATAGCTTTCCCGTTGGAGGATTGCAAATCTTGAGATTTCTTACCAAGTGAAGTATTTCTATTATTTTAACAAATATTCAATAAATAAATCATATTTTTACTTCTGATTCAAACTTTAAATTCTATCATTTACGACGATATATAAGCGACTAAGTACCGATTTTGGGCGTTGTGAGGGGTGTTTATCCTTCCCCACATGTAACCGACTCCCGAACCTGTTTTAAATGAATCTTTGGTAACGTAGATCAAATTTTTGTCTTATAAAACTATTTTTCTTAAAATTGTTTTAAAAGACGTTTTTAGGTATTCGACCTACCTAACCCAAAGGTCGATGGCGACTCATTTTCAATTTAATTTTAATTAATCCATAATCACCAATTTTTTTTATTAAAGTCATAATCGTTTTTAAAATAATATTTAATTGTTTTACCTAAAAATGGTTATGACAGCTTGGCGACTCTGCTGGGGACTACTAGAGAGTCAGGCTGTCGGTCGCTTATATATGGTCGTTATGGTGGAAATTATAAGTTCGAATCTTTAGTAAAACTATGATCTATGTATTGAATTTTTATTTATTATTTTATCTCTTTATTTTTATATACTAACATTTTAATTGTTTTTTTCCAGATATTTCTTAGTTCTCGTTGGGTGTTATTTTTTTTTATTTTCCCTGTTTTTTTTTTAGTCAAAGGTTTGTTTGTTTCTCCTCACACACATCACTTTCATTAGCATAACACGAGCTCTAGACATGAGCTTCGATCCAAATTAGTTAGGGTGTTTGCTTTACTCTCGTAAGAATTTATTCTTCGTATGAGTTTTAGCAAACAACCCATGGGATACATACCTTATACCTTCGTAGGAATTTATTCCTCGTATGGGTATAAGGCAGTGAATCCCCTCGAATTGAACTCGGTCCGTTTGAAACCTGTAATGGGTGAGGATTGAGGGTTTGGTAGCCCAAGGGGGCACCGACATCAAGGACAATTCGAGTCCCTTTTTTCCTGTTAGAGCTGAAACCATGCATATAGTGAACCATAGAACGGTCACACTAGGTAGAGTCATACTGAACCTCTGTCCGTCAATAGGTACCCAAAATAAGCGTACACAATGGAGAAACCCTCTAACCTTTTTATTTTATTTTATTTATTTATTTTTGAGTGTGTAGAATAGATTTATTCTGTTAAAGCATGTGAAATAGAATTTAGGTGCAGTTAGAATTTAATTAATTTAGGAGGGTAGAGAGCATGTTCGGGTAGGACCCTTTTTGAGGAATATTATTCGGGTAGATAATACATAAATAGAATAGATTTATTTCCTGTTTTATATATCTTTTTATGTTAAATTTATACAATTGTTTTGACTAACTGTTTTGTTTGTTTTGTTTATTTTTTCATACTGCATAGACATATCATTAGAAAAGGCGATTGATCTGTGAGTATCGATAAAGTGGAAAGACTTTCACGATGGAAAGGAGTTTCCTAAACAAAGAAGTGAATCCATCAGATGTAAGGAACTGGTCCGAAGCCAAGCAGAAAGAGCAGGGAGATAGTCTATCAGGGAACTACGTGTCAGATCTGTCTGATTATATACCAGCTTCTTTAAAACAGAATGAGCTTCAGGGATTGAAAACAATTTGGGAAAGTTGGAATCTTATTGAGAGGCAAGCTTTTCAGCAGACTTATGGGGATATATTTCATCTGATATACGTGAAGGTAGATCCGGTTCTCATACGAAGCATAATACAGTTTTGGAATCCGGCCTATAGTTGTTTCACATTCAACCGAGAGGACATGACTCCAACCCTCGAGGAATACCAATTTCTGTTGAATTTGCCAAGCGTTAAAGTAGACAAAGTTTACTCCCGATCGATAAAAGGGCCTTCTTTTAAGTCAAAGCTTGCAAAGATCTCGGGCACAAGCGACAAATGGGTAAATGATCGCTTGCAACGCAAGGGAGAAAGTGAGGGAGTGCCGTGGTCTCACTTACAAAAGATAGCTGAAGCACACGTAGATGAAAACGTGCGTAGAGATGTATTTGCTTTGGGTATATATGGTTTGGTAATCTTTCCAAAATGTTTGGGGCTGATCGAGCTAGCAGTAGTCGATTTGGTTGAGAAGTTAGGAAGAGAGGTGAATCCAGTCCATGCGATTCTTGCTGAAACTTTTCGATCTTTGAATATATGTAGAAGGTTAGGGGGAGGTCGTTTTATGGGCTGTGCTCAATTGCTTACTGTGTGGATCAGAAGCCATTTCTGGAAGGAGGAAAAGGTCAACTATAATCGTTTTTTGAAAGATTATTCTCCTGTTGCTGAGTACCTTACGAAGGAGTGGCCTGAAGTATCTCAGAAAGATCAATGGATTGATTTCTTCCGGAATCTACAGAGTCAAAACATAGCATGGCGAACACCGTGGCTGATGCATACACAAATCTTGTTCAAGTGTGGAGATTTGGACTGGATTATATTACTGGGACTATGGGGAGGAGTGGGATACGCTCCTTTGTTGATATTGAGACAGTACGGTGCCCGACAGTTTGTTCCTGTGACTCGTGGGTTGACTGGTGCTGAATTTTATTATAAAGAAGGCAATTATAGAAAGAAAATCAAAGATGTGGCTGATTCCTGGAGGATGACTTTTAGGACTAAAGTAATTGGAGCAGATGTTATCTTGACGCCTGATTATGAAGCCTGGAGAATCAGGAGGGTAAATGATAAGATACGTTTAACATCTGGAGAGGGATCAAGGTCGATAGAAGAACAAATCAGAAATATCCCTTCGAATTTGGAAATCCAAAGAATTGAGTTTGAAATGGAAAAGGCTAAAGATTCCAAGAAAATAGAAGAGATGGAGAGAGAAAACTTCATGTTGACTATCGAGGCTGAATTTCATGCCAGACAGTTTATAATGATGAGAGAACG